TTTATACCATAGAACCAATAACTGAACCCAAGATAACCGGTTCGGTCCGATTATTTAAAAAGAACATATTTTTCGATTTTAGTTACTTTTTGTACAAAATGGTTTAGGTAGTGGTTCTTGGTTCCTTTCTAAATGTATGTGTATTAACCGAAGTACCGACTATATATGTGAATTATGCATCTTTTATATGTTTATATATAAATCGGTTCCGGTTCATCGTATGTAATAGTTGGTTCCTTATTTTTGCATTTCCACTCCCGGTTTTTCATGATAATTTAGAACGTGAGTTGCAATTCTTTGATCGGTTTCTTAATTCAAAACCGGTTATTGTCGATTATTCATAAGTCAATTACTCAAAGATCCGGTAAAACCGAACCATTTTCGGTTCCTATGGACATTTATGCAATAACTAAACCAGTTATTTTGGTTCGCTTTTGATTCCTGAAGAATATGCTAGGAACCGGACTGGTCTCAACCCTAGCCTAGCCAATGGGTTAGAGAGTAGAATCCCAAATATAAGACTTCTATTATTATTATTGTTATTATTATTATTATTATTATTAATAGTATTGCATACGTGTATATAATTATTAAAATTATGATATTATATTAAAGTATTAGAAATGTTACTAGTACGACACACGTGTACTACACGGGTGCATAAAAAAGTAAATTGAACAATAAAGTAAAAGAATTAGTTATTGTAAGTATATACAAATAAATAATTGAAATTTCATAAAACAAAAACTAGTGTACATTGGTATTTTATTTCAAATTCTAAAAGAATTTATTTGTCTTTCAAATGCCACATCATATATGTCATGGAATTGTTAATTAAAAACAAAAATGCAACCTTATATGACACTTCATAGTGTGGCATGGTTTATGGTACCCATATAGGCACCATAGAATTTATGCGCAACATTATTAGTTCTACTTTTTTTTTTTCATCCTTGTCGCAACACAAATTCGTAATGAATTGTGACATCCATAAATCAAGATGCTAATATTAATAAGATAAATGATGTGTTTAGTTAAGATTTCATTAATTATTTGTACCAAAAAAAAAAAAGATTTCATTAATTACATTATTAGTATAATCATAATTTATAATTTTAGTTCATCAATAAGCAAACAAAGGCACATGTTAAAAAATAACTAAAATTAAGACTTGAAAAAATAAAATAAAATAAAAAATATATTATGAATGGGCTAAAAATTATAAACTTGGGAAAAAATATGATGAATGGGCTGAGATTTATCAACTTGAAAAAATAAGATAAGGGCCAAATTGTTGAGAATTGAGTTAAGTGACTGTTTAGTTATGATTTCATTAATTATATTATAAATGAAATTATAATATATATTTTTAGTTCATCATTATTATTACGCAAACAAAGACACAAACAAAAAAATGAGCTAGAATTTATTAACTTGGTCAAAAAAAATATGATGAATGAGATAAATTATCAGTAAAATGAAATAAAGAAAGAAATATTTGTGTGATCTATAAGTTTAAGGCAAATTTGATAATGAAATATAGATCGATAGAAGTCACAATGCATGATGAAAAAATATTTATGATAGTTTTCAAGCAAATTTTGTTTCCAAATTCTTCGAACCTAAATAAAAAGCATGATATTTTGACATGTAGGATTCTAAATCGTGTGAGTCTGCCATTTAGGTTTAACATGTTTTGAATTAATATATAGAGATTTATGTATATGATATTATATATAAAGCAAGTAATGATATTAAATTATAATCAAACTCCATTACTCTCGATATCACATCAATTTTAATTCACTATTCATCTAATCGCATAATTTTAACTAATTATCACTTTTAATCATATTTCTCATATTTTTACATCAAATCAACTTTAATTATTTTAAATAATATTTTAATTTTTAAACTTAAATTTTCACTAACAACCAATCATATCATTTTTTTTTTCATAATTAATTACGAGTAAAAAAAAAAAATTAAAACCCAATCCATTATCATGCCATGATATCACGTTAATTGGTATCCAATCCATACTTGTTCACTAGGCCTATGAGTAACCTTTGAAAAATGGAAGGCCCGCTTTGTTACAAAGCCCATTTGTTATACTATATCCAATCCATGATGGTTTATGATTCACATACT